CAGCCCTGACTCATAGCGACCCCTCCTTGGGTTTCCGAGGCAGTATCACTACAGAAGTAGGATTGCCCAACCTTGATAGCGCCTTGGAAACCCAAGGAGGGGTCGCTATGAGTCAGATCCAACTTGACAGCAGTGAGTTTGGTTTAGTTTTTGGTTTTATTGTTTACTTGTCTTTTACTTTAAAAGGTTCCTTTTATACCCTAAGGTAATCTTTCAACCTTAAAGCAAAAATATCCCCTGAAGTCATCTTAAAACCAAACAGTAGTTTAACTTAACTAGTAAAAAATGTCTCCCTTCAATTGCCAACCACTAAGAAAGGGTTCAAAATTGGAGATCCTGGATAGAGTGGGAGAAAAATATGGAAAAAAAAAATTCAAAATTATAAAAAGAAAAGACCAAGATTACTGATAGAGATAGGGGAAACCCCTGACACTGTGACCCTTAGTCACCCTTAAATTGTACATGTAGAAACTGTTGAATTGGTTTATGTTAGGCTGTGTATATTCTCAACAACAAGAAAATAAAATTTATAAGGGAAAAAGTTCCTTTTAGCTCTTTTTGGTTTAAAAATATGCATCGTGAGATTTAAAATAATACTGTACTGTCATCTGTAGACTTTGTGTGTGATTTACTAATAGTTTACAGAAGCATTCAAAGTTAGCATAGCATTGTCTCTTTAATCACATTTCATTTTTCTGAAGGTTAGTTATTGATACTAATGTACACCTATCTATGAGTTAATAAAAATGTTGACAGTTGGGTTCCCTACATAACTGCTTGCTTAATAAACGTATGATGGTTAATGGACACGATAAAGTTTTCAGTCGTACTGCATTATTTCACCATAGTTGCAATTATATGTCATTTGAAAATTTGAAGTATGAAGCTTTATGTTATTTTGTAGATTGCTGGTATAACTCTTCCATATGATACTCTGGATCAAGTAAGGAACAGACTGGAGGAAGTCTCTCCTAATCTTGTTCGATATGATGATGTTGAAGGAGCCAACTACTTCCAGCAAGCAAATGAGCTCTCAAAGGTAGTACAGACTTGCCTGTATGCAGTTTTCTTGATGATGTATCACTGGTGTAACATTACTTGATTTTGACACCATCATTGAGCTCTCGTTCCTTTTTTTTTTTGGGCAGCTAGTGAATCAGCAACTGCTTGCTGATCCTCTTGTCCCACCTCAGCTAACAATAAAAGACTTCTACATGACAGGTATGTAACTGTAGTCCTCACCAGTGTTGTTCTCCTATTGAAGTTATTTATAAAAATATTTTTAACCCTTTCTGTCAATATCAAAGGTAGAAAGAAAGCAAATCCCCTAATTAACATTGGAGTCCCTGGATAGTGCAAATAGTTAATATGCTCAGCTGCTAACCAAAAGGTTGGAGGTTCTAGTCAGAGGTTCCAGCCAGAGGCACACTGGAAGAAAAGCCTAGCAGTAGTCTCTTTCCCGAAAATCACCGATTGAAAACCCTGTGGAGCACAGTTCTGCTCTGACACCCATGGGGCCATCCTAAGTTTGGAAGCAGCTCAGTGGCAACTGGTTTAATTTAGTATTAAAATTCCAATCAGTGATAGGTAGTGTTTGATACTTTTAAATTTTTATTCTTGATTTTTTTGTATCTAGAACTAAGCAATCATAGAAAAAGAAGCAAAGTTTGAAAATCCACAAATAATTAACATGTTTTAAATATGAAACATTTACTATTGTATGGGAAAACATAGTTTATATAGCCATTTAGAGAGAGTCTTTCCAAAGTGGTAATAAATGTAAAGGTATTTCTGGTAATTACACATAAAAAATTAAAACATTCAGATGTGAAACATGTTCAACATTGATTGTAATGTAAATTGTTAGGGATTTTTTAAGGAATGTGCATTAAATTAAGTTTCCTTCCTGCAGATACTATGTTGATATAATATCTAGGTTGGGAGGTAGTTGATAGAGTTAACTCACTGCCATTGACTCATAGTGACCCCTCCTTGGGTTTCCAAGGCAGTATCACTATGGAAGTAGATTGCCCAACCTTCCTTCCGAGGAGTAGCTGGTGAGTTTGAACCACCAGCCTTCTGGTTAGCAGTCAAATGCCTTAGGTACTATGCTGCCAGAGCTCCCATTGATAAAGTTAACCAAAAAAAATATTCACTGCTGTGGAGTCGGATCCCACTCATAGTGACCCCTCCTTGGGTTTCTGAGGCAGTATCACTATGGAAGTAGATTGCCCAACCTTCCTTCCGAGGAGTAGCTGGTGGGTTTGAACCACCAGCCTGATTAGCAGTCAAATGCCTTAGGCACTATGCTGCCAGAGCTCCCATTGTTAAAGTTAACCAAAAAAAACCTCACTGCTGTGGAGTCAGATCCCACTCATAGTGACCCCTCCTTAAGTTTCTGAGGCAGTATCACTACGGAAATAGTTACTGTCCTAAAAGCAGATAGAAGCGTATTTTACATTTCTTGGTACAGTTTGTGTCTAAAATTATTTTTAATGCCTTTTTACTTTTTTTTTTTTATAAAAATTACATGTTCAATGTAGAATATATGCCTAAGCTGAAGAGAATAATAAAAAATCACTATGATCCCATTACCTAGAATAACTATATTTATTTTTAACATTTGGTCAGTGATCTTCCAGGAAATTAGATAGATGGATGCATGGGTGGGTAGATCTAGAGGTACAGTTTATTTATTTATTTATTTAAAGATTATCTACATACTCTAGGGATTTTTCAGTAGCTTTATTGAGCTATATGGAGCCCTGGTAGTGCAGTGGTTAAGTATTTAGCTGCTAACCAAAAACTTGGTGGTTCCAACCTACCAGCCCCTCTGTGGGAGAAAGATGTAGCAGTCTGCTTCTAAGTTTTGCAGTCTTAGAAACCATATAGGATAGTTCTCTGTCCTGTCAGATTGCTGTGAATCAGAATTGACTTGACAGCAGGGGGTTTATTGAGATACCATAAAATTCACCCATGTGAGGTATGCAATTCAATATATTCAGTATATATACAAGTTTACAACTTTTTTTCAGTAGTAATATATATTGCAAATTTTTTCCTATGGCTTGAATATTTTAATATTTTTCTTTAATATTTTTAATGTTTAGTACTAGTGCATCATATGACTATACTATAATTATTTGATCAATCCTAGGAATAGTTACTAAGCCTTTAGCCAACCCAAAGCCACTGCGATAGAGTGGATTCTGACTCAGAGAAACCCAGTAGGACAGAGTAGAACTGCCCCTTATGGTTTCCAAACCTGAAATTTTTATTACAGAATCAGACTGCCACATCTTTCTCCCACAGAGAAGCTGATGGGTTCAAACTGCCGACCTTTTGGGTAGCAGCCAAGATACCTTAGCCACTGTGCCACCAGAGCTCCTTGCCTTTAGCAAAGTGGGCTTATTTTCTGAACTTAGTGGTCGACCTCACAAAATCTACATATAATTGCATAAAGCTGCATAGTCTCTTTATTTCCTCTCAATATGTACAACTTTAAAGTTTTACTTTGTTTTTTAAAAATTATGTTTTCAAAAATTTACATTTTCTTAATATTTTTACAGATTCAATTAGCAGAGCCTCACAGACAATGGCCAAGTGTGTCAAAGCTGTAACAGAGGGTGCCCAGGCAGTAGAGGAACCATCCATCTGCTGAAACATCTACTAAAACCCAGTTGCTAGAGATAGTTAATGGACAGTTATGGTGGAGTGATCCCTCAGTGGTTCACCTCTTTAATAGGAGAAAGTCTGAATAATGATATTTAAGCTGCTTATTTGAAAATGATAACTGCATTTATCAAAGAACTTTAGGGTTTCAAAAACATTAACATACTGTATGTGAACATTGTTACATAGTTTCATGAAAGTGTACCCAGATGTTCTTTCATGTAAGAGCAGTGATAATCTTTGTGACACATCCCAAGGAAAATCCTTAAAATATGAACTTTTTGTTTATCTTCTTGGATCACTTTGTAAAATGGATGAAATGGGAAGAGCTTCCATTAGGACCCACTTTTTTCTAGTGCTACATAAAAGATTTAAGCGTTCTGTCAAGCTGGTTAAATAAGAAAATAAAAATTATATATTGATATCTGTATGCTGAACAACTATAATTCGTAATCATAATAATGATAGTTAATGACTCTTCAACTTTTTCTATGTGCGAAATACTCTAGTTTCACATGTATTTTCTTATTTTGTCCTTGCAGCAACCCTGTAAGATAAGTATCTCATTTTACACATGAAGAAACTAAAAACATTTGGATATTAAATAATTTGCCCAGACCACACAGCAAAAAAAGTCACAGATTCAAGCCTACCTTTTAGTACCTATTAATGAATATGGGTTGTTACTTCTAAGAATATCAAGAAGGATAATGGGTAACACATTTTTCTGTCTGAATCTATCTATACATACATACTCTCTCAAGGACTGGGGTACACTGCTATAGCTATAAACACAATCTCAGAATGAGGGAAATCTTAAGAGAGAAAATTTATATCATTGATGTTTTGTATTCATTATATTAGCACCATCTGTAGTGTTAAGTCAACTAAATTATTCTAGTAATAGAAGACAAAACTACCAGCTTTCTTAATTTTCAATTGTCAGAACAAAAAGGAAGTAAAAATTAAAATCAATCTAGGATAAAATCTTAAAGCTAGATTTTTTTTCCCCAAAAAAATCTGTATTCAGAATCTTTTTGCTTTGTAACCTTCATTTCTTTCTGCTTTCAATAAAGATGCCCAACTACAGGATTCCATTTTCCTGATAAAACAATCGGGTTTTTAGAATAATAATGTATCATCAGTGATGTTATTTTTAAAAAAAACTGGTACAAAGTTTGTTACCTGTTAATTACTTTTTTTAGAACAGCGTATTTTATTTTCTCTAGTGATATGTCAGGGAGCTCTGGTAGCATAGTGCCTAAGGCACTACTTGACTGCTAACCAGAAGGCTGGTGGTTCAAACCCACTAGCCACTCCTTGGAAAGAAGGTTGGGCGATCTACTTCCGAAGTGATATCGCCTCGGAAACCCAAGGAGGGGTCGCTATGAGTCGGGTCCAACTTGACGGCACATAACAGTGATATGTCAAAGAACCCTATTGGTGCAATGATTAAAATGCTACTCCTGTAAAGATTTCTGCCTAGGAAATCCTATGAGGCAGTTCTACGCTGTCTATAGGGTTGCTATGAGTCAGAATCGAGTTGACAGTGATTATGTCATAAAGTTGTATAGTATTTTGCTTAAAATTTCCAGCTAACTGAAATTATATAAGTACCAGCAGAATGTCTTTGAATTCAACCCCAACTTCCCATTTCCCTCTACTTCCTTCACCCATTAGCACTGTGCTGACCTCGAGGGGACTGCATTCCCAGTTTTGCATTTTACACAGTACTCTCCAGTAAATGTGTATAGTGTTAATGAGGTTGTTGGTGAAGGAATACTATGTTGAAATGATGAAGAGGTGATACATCGGCTAATCCGTTCCAGGATCCTACCTGTTACTTGTACTGCCCTCTAGGCCGTGTGCATTAAGTAACAAGTAATTCTCTGAAGAATACCCTTTGTGGTGGATGATTTAGCCTTTGGTCCTGGTTCTGAGAGTAGAACCACAACTGAGGCCGATGAATGAAGGCCGAGCTAACTACCAGGATTCACCAGGGAGCTGATACTAAGCCTGAGGAGGTGTGATGAGCCCAGATTGCTTGTCCATGCAGTGTGCTGTGTGGGCTTTGGGATTTAAAAATGGCTGACACAGGGACCTCATGGTCTCCTCAACTGTGGTGGTAGGTAGAGCACTCTTGAGCAGAACTATTCAGCTTACATAATTAGGCCTACCTGGCCAGTGGGAGACTGACAAAAAGTAGTCCCCCTTTAAGTTCCTCACCCATGGTACAAAGGTATGTGCATGGAACAGGTGTCATCTGTATCTAGACAACTGAGTTGGGAGGGTGCTGAACCACAAATGGATCCTTATTTGTTCTGGTTTGCTGGCTGCTGTTTGTTTTAAATAATAAAAGCTGCTTTCCATGTGTTAATGCTTTGAGAACATCTCTATGTTCAGACGGATCAGAAGGACATGACATCCATGGACTGACCGATATTGGTGATTGGCGTCTTTTTTTTTTTTTTTAACATTTTGCTGCGGTTTGTGTGAAAGAACAAATAAGTTTTCCATTCAACAGTTTATAGACGTTTTGTTTCATGACATTAATTGGAATCCCTTCAGTGTAAAGCATTCTTCCCACTTCCTCCTTGGGTTCTCCATTTCCATTCATACTTCTTCCGTGCCCCTTCCTGCTTTGTGAACTTTCTTTTGGGACAAATGCGGCCTTTAGTCTCATATGGTTGGTTATTCTCAAGTGTGCTATTGTTCACTTGATAGGACTATTATTTGAAAGGTGATTTCCAGAAGAGGGTTCAGTTTTAGGTTTGAAGAGTGTCTGAGAGCCATAGTTTTAGGGGTTCCACGAGTCTCTATTAGACCAGTAAGTCTGGTTTTTTGTTTTTTTTTTCTTTCATGATTTTGGATTTTGTTATACATTTTTCTCCCACTCTGCCCAGGTCCTTGTATTGTGATCCTAATCAGAGAAGTCAGTAGTGGTAGCCAGGCACCATCTAGTTCTTCTGGTCTCAGGGAAGTGAAGGCTGTGGTTCATGTGGTCCATTAGTCCTTTGGACTAACTGTTGGTGCCCTATTTCTAAAGGCTTTCTAATTAGAAACTAGGGACAAACGCACAAATACCTTGCTTGGTGTAGATAGTGCTCAATAAAGTTTGTTGGTTTTTATGAGAAAGTGGAAATGTGCCTTATCAGGACCTATTAGTTATGTAATGCTATATATTAAGGTCAATGTAAACATAAACATTTAAGATAATTGGTATTAGTAGTAAAAAGACATTATGAGGAAGAAAATACCTACAGGTGAGTATCTTAGGCTGGGTTTTCTAGAGAAGCAAAACCAGTGAAACTTAGCTTAGAGAAATTTATCTCCAGCAAATGGTTCACACAGTTTTAGGGGCTGGTAAGTCCCAAGGCCATGGATCAAACGTCAAGCTTTTTCCTAAGGAAATGTATTTATTTCCTAAGGTACAAAGGAATTATAAGTATTTTCCGGTCAACCTGATAAACAAAATACTGTATTACAGACCACACACCAGATTTGTGAAAATAAATTATATGGAACTCTATTCTCATAACACTCTTACCTCTAACAGTAAGATTTATTGAGTCTGGGATTCTAACCTTTAAAAGAGATTAACAGTAAAAACAATAAAATAGGAAGATGGGGCAATCTACTTCTGTAGTGATACTGCCTCAGAAACCCAAGGAGGGGTTGCTATGAGTCATAGTCAACGGCAGTGAGTTTTTTGGTATCAGAAGAGAAATTATGTACTAGCAATAGGCTAATGAAAGAGGATCAACACTACTGATGTGTATCAATGTGAACAGGTGGATTCTTTTGCCAATATAACCTTTGGCTAATGTAAACCATCAGCCTTATTGTTGCCCAAACAAATTGCCCCACCGCTATTCAAGCTACCAAGGAAAGAGAAACTACAGCAGCTTAGCAACCAAAGCAGTGACAACGTCCAATTTTTGTTTTTAATATTAATAGCATCACTCAACGAATGCTGTTGAATTGTCATTAGCATAGTCATTACAAATCTCAGTTAACAAAGGCCCCCCATATGGCTGTGAAAATAGGGTTCAAGCAGAAATAATATGACAAACTATCTTTTAGAACATTTTGGATGGCTAATCCTATTTTAGCATATCTAGACCTAATGTTTGTTTATGATTAACTCAACTTTTACAAATGTAGGCATGAAAAACAATCTGTAGGAACAACAACAAAAAATGTATACATATACTTGTATGGCTACCTTTTCTAAAAAGATGTAGATAGCTTATAATTCCCTGATAATTTTTAAGAACATTATTTTAAAATATCAATTGCCTAGCATGTTAGTTTTGCTTACCTAATTTAGCACAAGTGACAAATATGTTAATGAGAAAACTGAATAAACTCCAGGTCCTCAATTAAGACAATCTCAGAACCATATATCCTCTGCTTGGTGTTTTTTGTGTGATTAGACCACTAAAAATGTTTAAAGATAGAAGATGAACTTAGGCTTATTTGTTAAGGGTATTCAAAATCTTTGATATATTTTTTAAGTAACTTACACTGAAAAACATAAATTGGGATTGAAAAACATTGCAAAGACATGATCTAAGACTAATTATTAGTTTAAAATACTTCATTTGAATAGCCTAATGAGATCCTAAGATGAATAAATTTCATTTTAGAATCATAAAATGTTGGATCTAAAAAGGACTGCAGAGAAAACTTAGTGTTACATCTGCATTATAATCAAGGACATGGAGGCCAGAGGAAATTAAGAGGAAAAATACGGGGTATGTGTAGGGTTTGAACCCAGTTCTTCTGACTCCTAGTTCTGTGACAGCACAAAGCCTTAAATCTTTTAATCAACAAATATTTGCAGATTACTATGTCAAGTACTAAGTACTAGGACTACAAAGAGAAATACAGTTTGTGCCCTTAAGAACCTGATAGTGTATTACAGAGCGATGTATGTGTCAATTATAGTGTCATAACATACTCCAATAGAGATACGTACATAATATA